TAATCTCTTGAGGGACCACCTCCTAAAGCTTAGACATGTTTCAATCACCATTGTGAAAGAATTCATTAACTTTGATGTTAGTGTTGGTATGGGTGTTAAGATAATCATCAATAGAGGAAAACCCCAACCAATTATCCTGCCAGAAAGAGACCTCCCCATTACCGATCCCCCATTGAATATTCAAATCAGCTTCCCATTTGATTTTGCAAATTCTTTTCCAAACAGGGGAATCAGAAGATTTGTAATAACAAATCAGAGAATTAATACACTTACAATATTTTGCTTTCATAAACTTAGCCCAAAGACTAATATTAGATCTAAATCCAAACCACAATTTATGAGAAAAGGCATGTACAATATCAGGAATGGATTTGCAACCAAGGGAACCTTCTTTATAAACCCCACACATATTTTTCCACTTCGCCCAATTAATACAAAATTTATTGTTAGTAGCACACCAAAAAAACTTGTTTATCATTTTTTCCATTCTCATGCAAACATTAGAAGGAGGTTGCAACGTATGAAATATAAATACAGGAATAAAACTCAGAACACTTTTAATCAAAATCAACCTCCCTCCAAAAGAAAGGAAATTAAAAGACCAATGCGTGAATTTCCTTCGAAAGATAGTAAAAATATTGTCAAAAAGCATAGTTTTTTTCCTACCTTTAAGCAGAGGAGTACTAAAATATTTAATAGGCAGAGAAGACGGGTTAAAGCCACAAATTCTTTTAATCTTATTCAAATGGTTACTATTCATAGATTTGTCAGAGATAAAGTTACTCTTATCCCTATTAATTGAAAGACCACTAGTATTCTGGAAAACATCTAAAAATTGAACCAAAGTTTTAACATTTTTTATAAATCGAAGCATTAGAGAAGATAATAAAATCATCAGCAAAACTAAGGTGAGTGATGGGAAAACCACCCGACGTGCGAAAAGTAAGGTTAGGATACCTTCTGTAAAGATACTCTAAGCCCCTAGAGAGATATTCCATTGCTATAATAAAAAGAAAAGGGGATAAAGGATCCCCTTGTCTAAGACGATTCTTGGATTTAAAAAAACCATGATTACTACCATTTATGATAACATAAAAGAAAAAGTTTTCAATTCTATGCTTAATAAGCTTAAGGAAAAATTGATTAAAGCCAAACATAGACAATATTTAATAAAGGTAATCCCAATTCAAATTGTCATACGCCTTAGTAATATCAAGTTTAAAAAGGATTTTACGTCCAATACCTTTAGCATTAATATCATGAACCATCTCTTGGGCTAATAAAATGTTGTAAAAAATGCTTCTGCCTTTAACAAAACCGGTTTGGTTGTAGGAAATAATTCTAGGCAAAATTAATGCTAATCTAGAGGCAATGATTTTCGCCACAAGTTTGTTAAAGAAAGTACAAAGACTGATAGATCTAAAATCATTACAATAGGTAGTAATCTTTTTTAGGGATAAGGACAATATTTGTGGAGGAAAAAAATTTAGGGTAAGGATTACCACTAAAGAAATCATGCACAGCTTCCACCACATCAATTTTAATAATATCTCAAGTTTTATCAAAAAAAATTAATAGTAAAACCATCAGGCCTAGCCACAGAATCCCCATTCATGTCTTTATAGTGTTCCAAAGTTCATCTTCCAAAGGAAGTTGAGTAAGCAAAAAAATTATCTTCCTCACCCAAGAGAATAGGGATGACATTGGGGTTAATAATAGAATTTGTAGAATTTGCAGCATTAAAAATATCTTTAAAATATTCCACACCAGAAGTAACAATAGTATCTTCAGTATCATAAACACAACCTTGGTTATCAATTAACCAACCTGTGAATTGAATATAACTTTTAATTCTACTTTTGTTAGCTAAAGCATGAAAGAAAGAAGATAACAAATAATATTATATTATACTTTTATGTTTTCTTAGATTTATTAAGAGATGCTAGCTCTATTTTACATAGAGTACTTGGTGTTATTTTTATGAACTTGTAATTAAAATGATTTATCTATTAAAGTTTTTAAGATCATTATTATCTCAGAACTCTTCCTGAGTGATGAGAACTTATATGCACATCAGCTTAATGACAAAGATGATAACAAATAATATTATATTATACTTTTATGTTTTCTTAGATTTATTAAGTGGTGCTAGCTCTATTTTACATAGAGTACACCATTAATCTTTCAGAACTCTTCCTGAGTGATGAGAACTTATATGCAGTGATTTTATGAATTTTCAAATGAAACATCTGTAGATTCTGTCTGTTGGTTTTTTATAATTAGAAGCTCGCATATTTGATAAAAATCTTTCTTTTCTCATATCGATCTTTATTTGATAACCCTTTGCATGAAAATTTCCTTACTGGTTATGTTTTTCAAATCTTTGTAGCTGGAGTTTTTATGGATGTTGATGATTATTGAAGCTTCTCATATGCCATTTGGATTGATTCTCAAGAGAAGGGCTTCCGGTAAAAAGTGATTTTTGAAAGAAAGTAAGTGCTTCGTTTGACATGATTTTTTTATTATTTCTTGAAACAACTTTTTAATTTTTTATTTTTGTACTAAAAATTATTTTAAGAAATAGTAAAAAAGTCATTCCAAATGGAGCTTAAAGCTCTGTTGCATTAACATTGCAAAAGAAAGTTCAAGTCTACTCTTTCTTTAGCCTCTTGATGTTGCTTTGTTGGGCCTCAGCATAGCATATATGCATATGCTTAGGTCAATGTTGTTCTTTGGCAATAATGTTCACCCGATTTTATGAAATTATAGATCCTCTAACACTTGGGTGTTGAAAAGACTTTGCAATAGAAATGAGAAGCTGAACAGTACATTTAATGGGGTTTGGGTAAGGGTAAGGTGTTCTTTTGCCAAGATAATTGGGCCTTACTCAATTGACAATTTTTTAAATACTCATACTATTGACCCATCAAGGTCCACTATTCATAATGGTAAATGGAATGTGCAAAAATTAGGAGGTTATTCCCCCTGCTTTAGTGGATATCATTGCCAAGATTTTTTAAAAATTGCATTGTGAGGATTTGATGTAGTTACTGTTATCTCAAGAATATGACAATAATAGAAAGAATCATGCTGAAATAGAGAAAGGTAGATGGAAAAAGAAATAAGAATTTTTTCTCATATCGGTGAGGAACTATACAGGTAGTATAAATAGAGAAAAGTGAAAAGCAAAATACAAAGACAATAAATATCAAGAGTACACATGGAGTCTTGAAACTAATATAATAATAGCTGATATGTTTAATTGGGCCCCTCAATTTGGTTTATCTGGAGGTTTCACTAGCTTGATTGCTAGGAACTTAAAGCGAGGTGCTGGAAGCGGCTTGGTGAGTAGGTCTGCCAACTGGTCTTTAGTGGATATGTGATGAACTTGGATAATTTTGTCCTTAGCACAGTTGCGAATGTAATGGCAATCGACTTCGATGTGCTTTGTTCATGCATGAAAAACAGGGTTGTTTGCCAATGCAATAACGGATGTATTATCGCAGAATAGAGTAGTGGCTGAAGATTGAGAGCAGTTGAGTTCTTGAAGTAGACGGCAGAGCCATGTTATCTCAGCTGCAGCGGATGCAATCGCACGATATTCAGCTTTGGTAGATGAGCAGGCAACAACTTTTTGTTTCTTGACACTCCATAATATAAGATTAGATCCAAGAAAGTTGTAGTAGCATGTGATGGATTTCCTATAAGCTGTGTCGCTGACCCAATATGAGTTCGCATAAGAGCAGATTATGGGCTTGTCTTAGAACATGGGTAGTCCGTCGTGAATTTTACCTTCGATATATCTGAGCAAACATTTGAGAGCTTTGAAGTGAGACTTTGTTGGGTTCTATATGTGTTGGCAGGCCTAGCTTGTTGACGACGTAGGAGATATCTGATCTCATTAGAGTTAGGTATTGTAACGAACCGACAATTTGACGATATAGTGAGGAGTTAGAGAAAGCAGCAGAGGAAGTGTTAGTATTTTGGGTTTTTAATTGAGAAGGAGTATAAACGGGTTTGCAATTTGACATACCTGAGCGAGAGAGGATTGTGTGTGCAAATCTGCTTTGGTTGAGGTGGAGGCCATAAGAAGTGTGAGTCACTTGTATGCCTAAGAACTGTGATATATTTCCAAGGTCCCGCATGGTAAACTTGGTGCTTAGATTGTCAAGAAGAGTCTTAATTTCCTTGGGGCAATTATCGGTGAGAAGAATGTCGTCGACATATACCAAGAAGTACATAGAATTTTCATTGTTGGAGTATATAAGAAGAGAGGTATCTGAGGAGCTAAATTTGAAGCTAAGAGTTTGTAAGTATCCGGACAGAGTTGCGAACCATTAGCGTGGAGATTGTTTTAGGCTGTAAAGGGCATTTTTCAAGCGGCAGACGTAGTCAGGATGAAGTTCGTCGACGAATCCTGTAAGTTGCTTCATAAAAATAGTATGATTGAGATTACCGTGTAGAAAGGCATTGGTGACGTCGAGTTGATGGATAGACCAGGATTGATGGAGGGCGATAGATAGCAGAATTCGGATTGTAGGCATTTTGGCAATCGGGCTGAAGGTTTCATTGTAATCGATATCGTATTCTTGGTTGAATCCATTTGCGATGAGTCTGGCTTTGTATCGGGCAATGGTTCCATCGGTTAGATATTTGGTGCGAAACGTCCATTTGCATCCTAGGACATTTTTGTTAGGATTGGGAGGAACTAGATCCCATGTTCCGTGGGATTGGAGTTCCTGAAATTCTTGGGACATTGCAGTTCGCAATTGGGTAGTTCGAGCTGCTTCATTGGAGGTGGTGGGATCTGTTGACCTCATTATTCGAGGTTAATTTCCCTAGAATTCAACTCTAGCGCCTAGGTCTTCGTAACCTAGAATAGATGTCGCCCACAGGATTTCTCTTAGGTGGATACCCATTGACGTAGCATCGACTCGAGCCTATCACTCAATTCAAATCAAAATCAATTCAATCCAAATCTCATTCAACTCCTCACTATTATGGATAGGTATAAATTGGATGTTGCCAGTGCCGGTAAAAATTTCACAAAGATAAGGAAGGCTATTGCTTTCGGATTCTTCTTTCATGCTGCAAGAAAAGATCCTCAAGAAGGTTACAGAACCCTAATGAAGAACCAACCAGTCTACATTCAACCCAGCAGTGCTATCTTTCAAAGGCAACCAGATTGGGTTATATATCATGAGCTTGTCATGACAACAAAGAAGTACATGTGCGAAGTTACCGTTATTGATCCCAAATGGCTCGTAGAATTCGCACCTAGATTTTATAAATCATCAGATCCAACAAAGATGAGCAAGCGAAAGCGTCAAGAGCGAATTGAGCCTCTCTATGACAGATATAATGAACCAAATTCATGGCGTTTGAGCAAGCGCCGTACTTGATGATTCCTGCAAACCATAAATATGCATTTGACTCCCACAGATTGTAAAGGCGGTTAGCTTTTTCATCTGATCTGTGATTCTTATCCTGGTCTCCATATTCAAAATGCCTATTTGGCGAATGACTATGAGATTTGAATTTTATGAACTGAGTTTCGATTGAAATCAGAGTATGGCTTTGGCTTCATCAACTGTCGGCACAATTAGTTACATGTAACTTCTGAGAACCGCTCTCCCACTCTCTGCAGTTCACGAACTGCATCCCTCTCCACTGCAGTTCGCAAATAAATCCAGCCAAGGCCCCATTGCCTCCTCCGAACCGATCCGAGAAGTCCAGTTCGCGTGGGACCCTTCATTCGCACGATCAGCCCCATCTCCTTCTCATTCCCACAAAGCAAATCCCCTATTCGGTTCTCCCCAACAGTTCGGAACTTCCCAGGTCGACGCCCTGATGCGGTGCATCCAGCCGTTGGCGCCATTTACAGTATTATTTAAACTTAGTTTTATTTATTATATTAGCTTAACTAAAGTAATTGCAGGATTAGTTAGTAGTGGCTGCTCCACTACGTTTATTTCCTCAAATAGCCGTGCGCAGGTCTGTGTTCACCTGCTTCTATGCTTTAGTTCTATTTTTGTTTCTTCGTTTCCTGTATATCTTCTCTACCGAGAAGATGAATCAGTTAGTTGATGATATACAAACTTTGGCTAGAGCCATTACTATTGCATTGCCTTCGGTAGCTACATCACTTGTGAACCTGCTTCTTCCTTCGTATACCACATCATTCTGGTATCAGAGGCCAGCGGCTTGGGAAGATGGCAAGTCCACGCAAGCGTGCGACGAGCGAGGACAACCGAAGTCTGGAGGCGCTTGGGCTTGCGCACGGCTGGGGTCGAGAACGGTTGATGAAATAGCAGCGGCGGTGGGGCGTCCTCACCGCTGCATTTCGTCGTGAACCGCCGGTGGCAGCGAGCTGGGCGAAGTTCCGTTTGCCGCAAACGGGAAAAAGGAAAACCGGCCAACACCGATCAATTAACACACACCCGACTGAAATAACAGAGGATTTCAGGACTCGTGGACGACGACGTCGCAACATTGCTTCTCCGGAGTTCTCAGACTCGGAGGAGAACGAGGAAAGCCTTATGCCGGAAGGATTCTCAGATTCTGATGCGGATCTGATGGAGCCCGCCGTCCTCGGCGGTATAATCGCAGAGACCCGACACCAAGGGGAATTTCGGGTGAAGTTGGACATTCGTCTTTGATGGAAGGCTACACATCGAGGACTATCTCATTGGGAGAGGTCAGTAGAAAACTTCTTTGATTATATGGAGATTGAGCCGGAAAAACAGGTCAAGTACGTGGCGTGTCGACTTAAGGGAGGAGCTAGTGCTTGGTGGTCACAGTTGTTGCAATGCCGCCGGCGAGAGGGGCGCGGACCTGTTCGCAGCTGGTTGAGGATGAAACAGTTGTTGCGGGGACACTTTCTCCCCACTGATTATGAACAGATGCTGTATTTAAAATATCAACACTGCGCTCAGGGCAATCGCACGGTGAGTGAATATACAGAAGAGTTCTACAGTCTGTCCGCGAGGAATGATCTGAATGAGACTTCCAACCAATTGGTAGCAAGATACATTGGCGGATTAAGGGAAAGCATTCAAGACAAACTGGAATTGAACTCAGTTTGGTCACTCTCACAGGCAGTTAATTTCGCCCTCAAGGCGGAAATTCAGCTGAGCCGTCACCTGCGAAGTGGTACACAACGCAGACCGACCGTGGATACCGTCGACCTGACTAAACAGCAAAGCTCCGGGATGCGCAAAACACCGTTATTACCAGATAACAGTGGTTTGTCTCAACCGCCTAAACTTAATTCTGATCCTAAAGCTCCTCTGAAGCCCAGATTTCCCGCCAAAGATAACCCGTATCCGCGACCTCAAGGACTCAAATGCTTTCGATGCTTTCAGCCAGGACACAAGTCTAACGAATGCCCCAATCGCCAACAATTGCAGCTCCTGGAAGGAGAAGAGGAGGATGCAGCGGATCAGCGGGAAGAAGAAGAGGAAGTAGAGGATGTACTCGGGGATGAAGGGGAACCGTTGGTTTGCGTACTGGAGAAACTACTATTGGCTCCTCGAAAGGTCACAGAATCGCAGCGGCATGCTATATTCAAAACGAAGTGCACAATCGCCGAGAAAGTCTGTGATATATTGATTGACAGCGGGTGCACGGAGAATGTAGTGTCAAAGGCGGTCGTGCAAGCGTTGCAACTCAAAACGGCGAAGCATCCACAGCCTTATAAGATCAGCTGGGTCAAACGAGGAATGGAAATTTCTGTCACTGAAACCTGTCGTGTTCAGTTTTCAATCGGAAAGCATTATACCTGTGAGGTGGTTTGCGACGTCGTAGAAATGGATGTCTGTCACTTGATTCTCGGCCGTCCCTGGCAATTTGATGTCAGTGCTATTTATGACGGGAGAGCCAATACTTACTCCCTGGAATGGAAAGGAAAACGACTCCGATTATTGCCACATTCAGCGGCGGGAAACAATAAAGCTGATACGGTTCGACCAGCACTTCACATAGTCTCTGGCAATGGCCTGTTAGCTGCTTGCGAGAAGAATATGCCGCTCTTGGCTCTGATCATACGGGAAGTCACACCCAGCCAGGATATTGACAACAGACGCTTGATTGACCCATTGCTCAAACAATTCGAAGAACTACTAGATGGGAGTGTAAATACTTTACCTCCTTTACGTTCTCTGCAACATCAAATCGATTTCGTGCCAGGATCCACACTGCCAAACTTGCCTCACCACCGGTTGAGCCCGAAAGAGCACGAAACCCTGCAAAAGCTTGTTGATGACTTACTGAAGAACAAGTTAATTCAACCGAGCCACAGTCCTTGCGCCGTGCCCGCTCTCCTTGTCCCAAAGAAAGATGGGAGTTGGCGAATGTGTATGGACAGCCGCGCCATCAACAAGATCACAGTCAAGTTCCGCTTCCCGGTACCGAGAATTGAAGAGTTGCTGGAAAGGCTGGCGGGAGCTACCGTCTTCTCAAAACTTGACCTCCGAAGCGGTTATCACCAGATCAGAATTCGACCTGGTGATGAGTGGAAGACCGCATTTAAAACGCGCCATGGTCTTTACGAATGGCGTGTCATGCCTTTTGGGCTATGCAATGCCCCGTCGACGTTCATGCGGTTGATGACGGAGGTGCTCAAGCCATTTTTAAACATCAGCTGCGTAGTATATTTCGATGACATCCTTGTCTTCAGCGCATCCATAGCTGATCACCTGGTACATTTGGCAGAGATCTTCTCTGTTCTTCGGCAAAATCAGCTCTTCCTGAACTCGAGTAAGTGCGAATTCGCTGCTTCTACAGTTTATTTTCTTGGGTTTGTTATCTCGGGTGCAGGTGTATGCGTGGATCAGCGGAAGGTGGAAGCCATTACGAACTGGCCAATCCCGAAATCATTCACCGAAATCCGTAGTTTCCATGGGCTTGCGAACTTCTACCGCCGGTTCATCAAAAATTTTAGTACAATTATGGCACCGATCACCGACTGCCTCAAGCAGAAACATTTCCAGTGGGGTGCTGATCAAACTTCCAGCTTTGAGGAAATCAAATTGGCCTTATCATCAGCTCCAGTACTCGCCTTGCCCAACTTTGAGAAGCCGTTTCACGTCGACACAGACGCATCAGGAGTGGGAATTGGGGCGGTTTTGAGCCAGGAGAACCAACCGGTGGAGTTCTTTAGCGAGAAACTTTGTCCTTCTCGTCAAAACTGGAGCGTATATGAGCAAGAATTGTACGCCGTGGTGCGTGCTCTCAAGCAGTGGGAATCATATCTTCTACAGCAGGAGTTTGTTCTCTGCAGTGACCATCGCGCGTTGCAGTTCATTAACAAACAGAAGCACATTAATAGGATGCACGCGAGGTGGATCCTGTTCCTACAACGTTTCTCGTTCGTGCTTAAGCATAAGTCTGGACCGCAGAATGTCGTTGCAGACGCGCTCAGCCACAGACATTTGTTGATCACACAACTGCAGACAGAGCTCATCGGGTTAGAATGCCTAAAGGAGTTATACTCCACTGATCCTGAATTTAAGGAAGCTTGGGAAGATTGCCAACAGGACAAGCCGAATACTGAGTTTGCTATTCGACATGGCTACCTATTCCATCGCAACCAGCTCTGTATTCCCGACTCATCTTGGCGTCCTCAACTAATTAAAGAAGTGCACTGTGGTGGTCTAGCAGCTCATGTAGGTCGGACCAATACCTATTTACAACTTCAGTCCCGTTTTTACTGGCCACATTTGCATCGAGATGTAATGAGGTTCGTGGAGCGTTGTCCCATTTGCCAAAGTTACAAAACCGGCGGCCAACTAGGAGGCTTATATTTGCCGCTACCAACGCCAGAGACGATTTGGGAGGATCTGAGCTTAGATT